ATCCTGCACAGAATGAAATTTGTGATATTTAGCATGTTTGGATTTTAGAGTTAGGATGTAGTCTATTCAACTAAATCGCTCCGGGGGCCACAGGAGTTGAGAAGAGGGGAGGGTACATTGGTGGACTATGGGCTAATAGCCCTGGTGTGTTGTGTTTAGTTTAGTCCATTTTAAGCCCAGTCTCTGTGCCTGTATGAGGTTCTCCTCGGCCAAACATGTCTCCATCTCCGGTTCCAACCGCGCTTTCAGGTAAAACCGAGTGGTGCACGCTTACGATTTTGACATCAGTAGACTTTTGCCCTCGGATTGGTTGAGCCGAGGCAGAAATTGCGAAATCGTCCTGCAGATGGACGAAGGAGACGAGTGCATACAGCTCACTTCAGTCTGAAACGAGCAAAGCGGCCACTCATGGATACATAAACAGTGCGCCGCAACACCTGAAGCCACGTGCTGCTGATACGCCCACAGAWTGAGGCGCACGCCGCCACGCAGACACCTGAGCAGAAGCTGAACGTGAGAATGGACGACGGAGGCGGGGCTATAGTGTTTGAGTCGGAACCATGAAGTGGTTTTTGAACACTGTTTGAGGTGAGGGGCGGAGCCGTGGATCCTGAAACAGACGGAGCTGTGAAGTCAGYACTCTCTCAGACAGAAGAGAGGATGATGAAAAAAGACAAGCAGAGTCGTCGACAGAATGAGGATGTTGATCCCTGCCGTGAAGTTACCACTCTTTGGTAATCATCGGCCATGTTCTTGGTGTTTTCTTCACTGCTTTGTTTGTTTAAGGTTTGGTTAAACTCCCGCATGGCCAAAATGTGGATTCAAACACATATAATCATCATATTCTATGACAGTAATTGCTTTCTAAAAGCACTTGGGACTATAATGGTGGGTGTTTGGACTTTAAATCAAACATTTTTAAGCTGATCTTTTGTTTTGGGCACTTTAATTGAGCCGTTAATGAGGCCCAGCTGTTACAGATGTCTTGTAGCGGCACATGTTCACTGTCTGGCTTCACATAAGTCATAAGATTTGAGAGTCTAAAAGACACCACAGTTCAACACATGCTAATGGGAATCATCAGTCTGCAGAGCACACACTGAAGAAATAAAGCAATGCAGACAGTCTGAGATTTGTTCTCGCAGGGAACAAACAGAATCACATTGAAGCTGATTGAAATGTGGCACAGCGGGAAAGGTAAGTCAACAAAACAACACAAAGTGGCGGCTGATGGGTCACATACAGGCCAACTGTTTACGTCACAAACGACAAGGAGCCGCGAAGGCGTCCCTCACCTTTTTATAAACGTACTGCAGCAGAGGCCTCCCCCTGTCCTCCGCCTCCTCGCCGTCCRTCTCCTCCTCCTCCAGGGAGTGGGTGTGCCTGAAGTACGTCTGGGCGTAGACGTAGTAGAGGCCCGGCTGCGACACCACCAGCTCTCCCTCCACCAGCTGGACGTCCTGGAGGAAGGCCAGCCCCTTTTCCCCCTCCCACCACGAGATCTTCTGGCCCTGAACCCGTCGCCAGGCAGAGGCTGGAACTGAAGCCAGATCAAATGTAATCAGATGAAAAGGAGAGCCGCCAAAACGTCAAAACGCTGGAGGTCAACAGGCAAAACCTGGGCAGGTGGTCACAAAACTCACCTGACTGTTTRGGCTCATTTAATCATTCAAATGGACATATGCTTTTAAATCCTTTCTCACATTTAAATCACTCAGTTGGGGTCTATATAAAGTGGAACTGCAAAGCTTTGGTCTGAATTCCTCCTTATTGTAACTCCACAAGCCCCTCTTTCACCGCTTTTCTGAGCCGTGTCTCAGATCAACTCGTTTTGGTGCTGTCTCTTCAAATTCAATGGAGGAGCTTCGCACCCCGCCCCAGAGCGGTCCATTCTAGTTTGATAGGAGTTCACAGGTGGCACAGAAACCTTTTATTTACAAACTGATGTACAAATTTAAAGATATCTATGCAGCATGGAGAGACTTCTAGACACAAAATATATTTAAAGGCTAAAAAAGTGGATTTTGCATGATATGTCCCCTCTAAAACATATTCAGTTTTATTTCTTGGAGGCTTCATTGTCCCTTCTGACTACTAATACATAAATAAATAAACTTATTAAATCTGAGGGCTTCTGATTGTTTGCGTCATGCAGCCGTGGTTTTTAAAACGGTTTTCTGTTTTTTTAAACCACATCCTGTTTTTATTTTCACAGCTTGTATTCTRGGCTGTGCAAATTACCCATCATCCCGGCATCGGCCCACTTTGTACCCACTATGCCACCCGCTCCCACATTTTTGAATCAAGCTAGACTGTTCAATACAAGGAAAGGAAAACTTTTTAAATCAGAGTAAAAAAAATCAAATCAGGCAAACCTCTGGGTTTTTGATCTGGTCAGGTATGTGGCAGAGGGGGAGTGGTTAATCGGTGTCAGCTGTTTTGGTGTTAATAAAAAGTGAACTAAAGGGTGCAACAATGAGACGACCTCAAAAACATGAATGGTTTTGCAGCTGGAGGCCACAGACTTTTTTTCCCCTCATCTTTTTTGACTTCTTTTCAGTAGTTTTACATTTGACTAAGATCAGCGCCGGCATCCTTTAGTGGTCCCTTTGCTCACTGGATGAGGGATCGATGTGTTATTTTAGAGTTCCCTTTATTTTTTTAGCACTTTTTCCAAAAAACGTCTCCCATGCACGATATTATATTAAAGTCTAGAACACGTGAAATCCATGCATGCACTCAAACTGCAGCGTGAGAGTTTTGGCGCTCAGTTAGGAAAACTGATCAGAGATGTGAAAAGTCAAAACATGTGGTGTGGAACAGATCAAGGCACACCAAGTCATTTCCTAAAACTGAGCAAACATCCACTTAAGGAAGAAAACAGAATCATTTGGTACCACAAAACACATGGACCCCAGTCTGCTGGTAAAGTCCAGCAGCTGATTTATGCTGCCTAACGATGCCTCTCCCTCCACTTGTGAACCRTCTGAACTCAAGAAGATGGGGAGGAAAGTACAGACTTTTATCTAGTTTAAGATTGTGCTGACCAAATTTAATATGCACCACAGTAAATAACGTCCCACAGTTCTAAAATCTAACTAATATAGATTATTTATTGCCAGTGGCAGAGCTAGACTTTCATGAAGAGCGTGGCCAAGGCTCATTTTCTGTTACTCCAACCTGTGTTCTAAGGAACATGCAATGATCCTTTACAATTTTCATAATCCACAACTGTTTTTCTATACATCTCACTAACTCACACTGTAATCTCTGTAGTCATCATCAAGCATGGATCTCCTCTTTATGACTCAGAATGAAAATACTTGCAGCAAACACACGATAAGTGAAAAATACTGAAAAATATACKGAAATATATAATATAATGATAACAATAATAATGATTTTATAGTGAAATATACTATTTATTGAAATGTGTACGTGTTATAAAATATTTACACCTTAACAAAAATAAAAAAAAATATATAAACTAATAAGTATCCACATTGTCCTCATTTGCTCTAATAGCACTAATTTTATATAAAAAGCAAACGCAACTATTGTACTAAAATAACTTTATGCTGCACGTGTCAAACTCAAGGAATGCAGGCCACATATGYCCCTCATTATCATTTTCTTTGGTCCCAAAGGTGATACTTTAAATATTAAATGGTTTAATGATTTCTCTTATTAGCTCCGTATTTAATGCATTCTTCTCATGACYGCTGGGAAACTTRAGGATTTTTCAGTAAGCTTTGATTTTGGRGAGGAAAGAGCAAAAGGAAGTCGACTTTACTTATCTTTTTCTGTCAAATAATTTGATCCTTAYTAAGGGTTTTCTTTATTTTTACCTGAATAATAAAGATAAGAAATAGGAAATGAAAAAGTTGTTGATAGATAGACAGGCTTAAGATTTATTTTTCAAACTTTTTTTCTTTTTTGTTTTTGATTCATGTATGGTCTAAATGCTACACCAAACATCATTTGGAAAAGTTTCTAAAAAATAATTTGTTTTATAACATTTTTCCAATAAATACTGACAGCAATTAGCCCTTGCTTGGACAAAGTTTTGAATTTTGGCCGCCTTGTGTAASTATGCTTTATACTTTTATTTTGAAAATAGAGTCAAACTTTTGGAGTCACAAGATCACATTTTATCAGTTTCATTTGGTTTGTCTCTAWATGTCACAACAGTCCAACATTACAGCTTTTAGTCAAAATGCTCATTTAGTGTCTCATACGTTTGACACAATACAATTCAATATTTTTGGTTTCTTATTACAACTTCTTCCTAATTTATTGTTACAACAGAGATTCTAAATAGTTTAATGCATGTGTTTTTACAAGCTTTACTCACGATGAATACATTAAGACATCACAGTTGTTCATATTAAAATTCTTATTAAAATGAGAGCCTGTTTATCAAATGTAACTCTACTATTAACATGGCTAGGCCAGCAGAAATACCCACTCGCAGCATTTCACCAGTTGTTTGACACAGAAATGAACACAACTTTATCAGCTGAAGCTTTTCTCACCTCCTGACTCCTGATCCAGTTTGGGCACGAAGCTGCCTGTAACATGAGCGGCGACTTTGGGCCGAGGTGAAGCCCTGTCATCCATCACAATGGAGGGCAAGACCCGAGACACTTCATCTGACATGAATACAGGAGAAAGTACAATATCCTGAATTATTATTATTTAGTGGGATAATAAATCAAACATTTGTCAGAAGGTTTTAAGGTTTTAAAGTGTCACAACATTAAAATGAGTTCAGGTCTTCAAATTAGATAAAAACAACTTCAGATTTAAAAAAATACCAACACGAAACTCCTTATTTAGCAAAAACTCCAACAAAAAGCAGAATAGTGTTTGTAAAGAAACTGAAGCTGTTATTTGTTTTTAGGACTCAGTTTTTCACAGAGGAGTTTTGGTCCATTTTCTTTACAACGTTGCTTAAAGCTGATTGAGGTTTGCAGACTATTACAGCCCTACCACTGAAATTCTGTCAGATTGGGGTTCTGGACTTTGGACCAGTGTGGCATCTTGATTTTTATTTTATCTGCAGTTCTGTTGCAGATCAGCTGCTGTGTTTGGGATCATTGTTCTGCTGCATCGTGGCCCAGTTTGCTTCAAGCTTCAGCTGTTGGACAGATGGCCTCACGTTTGACTCTACAATCATTTTAGTTAGGAGGAGGTGGAGGAGTTCACGGTCGATGCAGAGCCTGCGAGCTGCCCCGGTCCTGTGGCTGTAAAACAAGCCCTCATCATCAGCCCTCCACCACCGTGCTCCACAGCTGCTACCTGGTGTTTGTGATGATGTTTTCACCCTGTGCATTATGGGTAAACATCTTACATTGGTGTCATCCAACACATTGTTCCAGAAGTTTTGTGGACCATTTGAAATGAATGAAAATATTTATATGTTTGTTTGTGTATTAAAAAATTTAAATAAAAAAATTACCAAAACAAGTCCATTTGAATAATCAAAACTCTGTAT